GCTGCATTTTAAAGAGGTGCAATTTCACAATTTGTGTATATTTTCTAAGTTCACTATTTTGTCATGTGTTGAGAAAAACACAGATTTAAAAATTACATGGTCTAATATTTTCATTTAGCATAACTGCAACATGCTTTTTTTCGTTTTTTTTTTAAAGACTCAAAAGGACTTGAAATTCAACATTTCAGACTTGTGACTTTACTTGGACTTTTACACCAGTGACTTGAGACTCGACTCTGACTTGCCTGACATTACTTGAGACTTGACTTGAGACTTGAGGATAAAGACTTGAGGCTTACTTGAGACTTGCAAAACAATGACTTGGTCCCACCTCTGGTAAGTGGTACTAATAAGAAACAGCTCAAGGAAGATTTTGCAGCTAATCTGGCAACAGGTCAATATCGTTACTGGGTATAAAAAGAGAATCTTAGTGAAGCAGTTGCTAAAATGTAAGAATGAGCAGAGGTTCACAAATCCAGTGTCTTCAAATTGTGGAATTTCAGAATTGTATTTCAAAAGAATTTCAAAAGTTTCTCAACATAAAATTATGAAAACTCTGAATACTTCTTTTTCTTTTTTGTTTTACGGAGATAATGCACTTAATCTATTCAGTTAAATTTAGCATTATTTATAAATTGACAATTCCAACAGATGACAAAAGTTGTCTCAGATTGCTTCACAATGTAAGATAAGAGCCTGCAACATTAGACAGAACATCAGGACAGTCAAGAAACCTGCTCATTGTATCATGGGAAGCCGCAGCAACCTAAACTGGTTAACTAAGAAGATTCAGAGTCACCTGATCCAGTCCTAACTATATGTTTTATCAAAAAGGAAATTATGAAGCCTAATCTTAAAAGTAGTAAAAGTAAATTTGCTGAATCCTAACTGGTCTTAAAGATTTGATGGGGAGTAATTATTCAACACTATGAATGTGAGGAGAAAGCTTTTAAATTAAATTCTCAATTTGACAAGTAGAAAATAGAGACACGATCCCTCTTTCTAATCTTTCTCAGAATGCTTGATCAACAGTTTTAGTAAATGGCCTGTATTTTGTATAGCGGTTTACTAGTCCCTAAGGACCCCAAAGCGCTTTACACAACCAGTCATCCACCCATTCACACAATGGTGATAGCAAGCTACAGTGTAGTCACAGCTACCCTGGGGCGCACTGACAGAGGCGAGGCTGCCACTGGCGCCACTCTGGCCCTCTGACCACCACCAGTAGGCAACGGGTGAAGTGTCTTGCCCAAGGACACAATGACCGAGACTGTCCAAGCCGGGGCTCGAACCGGCAACCTTCCGATTACAAGGCGAACTCCCAACTCTTGAGCCACGATCATTCAACTGACAGCTCCTCAAGCCTACTAATAAGGAATTACATTAGTACACACTTGACTTACACAATGGTATAAGAGTAACAGATGAATAAACATTGGTATTTATAAATGTCATATTAAGAAGATGCAATGATACATAAATGACTTGCTCCTACATTGTCAAACATTAGTAAGCTAATGGCAATGTGACATTATTATAAAGTGCTACCAAATAAATGAATAAAACTAAATTATTAACAAGGGGAGCCTACAGTGAGTCTACAGTGCTACAGGTTAAAAATAAATGGTATGTGGTTTGAAGTCTGCACTTTCAATGGGAAACTTAGCTGCTATATCATCTTAAATTGGTCATTTGATTTCGATGCACTGGCGTGTCCATCGACTCGAGAGGGTTACATAATCAGTGGTAATGTCTAAATCCTGACCTGAGACTTTTCAGTGTACAGTGTGGATTTTTCAATCCAGCAGAAAGTAGAATTCCACCGGAATCTTGCAGGTCATTGTTACTGAGGTCCAGCTCTCTCAGACGAAAGGACTGGGAGAGGAAAACTGAGGACAGAGCTTCACAGCTTCTCTCTGTTAAGTAACAGGAAGTCAATCTGAAAAATAAAACCACGAGGAGCTACTAGATTTAGAAAAACTTATTTCATTTTTTAAGCATTGATTCTAACTAAGAATGCAGCAACAATCAACTAAGCTTTCTCTAACAGGAGGCAGTAACAATGAAGTATATCATTTGACCTCACCTGAGACTTTGTAGGTTACAATATGGACTTTCTAGTCCTGTCGATAGAAGCTTCAATCCTGAATCCTGCAGGTCATTGCTGCTCAGGTCCAGTTCTCTCAGATTGCAGGATTGTGAGGTGAGAACTGAGGACAAGACTTCACAGCTGCTCTCTGAGAGGTTACAGAGATTCAGTCTGAAAAAAAAATCATATTTGTGATCAAATGAAATCACTTATTTATTAATACTGAACAAGAAAAATTACTATTGCATCTAATGAGCTTGGAAAGAAAAGCGTCTGGACTTCTTTAAGTTGCTTGAAGACACAGGGCTTACATCAAGGATTCTCCACCATTTGACCCTAGGACTGAAGAAGCTTCTCGGATGAGAGATGAAATGTCTTCAAGCAACTTAAAGAAGTCCAAACGCTTTTCTTTCCAAGCTCCTTACACTATGATGACCTGGATGACTGAGAACCTTCACAGACATACTGACTATTGCATCATTACAATTTAATGTTAAAAAAGGGATGAACACATATTTACTTACAGAGCTTTGTTGGAGGCTTTGATCACTGGCAGCAGCCTCAGAAAAGCCTTCTCTGAAGCAGAGTATTTCTTCAGGTCAAACACATCCAAATCTTTTTCTGATGAGAGTAAGATGAAGACCAGAGCTGACCACTGAGCAGGAGACAGTTTATCTGCAGAGAGACGTCCTGATCTCAGGTACCATTGGATCTTCTTGACTAGAGAGCGATCATTCAGTTCATTCAGACAGTGGAACAGGTTGATGCTTTTCTCTGCAGACAGATTCTCACTGAGCTTCTCCTTGATGTATTGGACTATTGTCTGATTGGTCTGTGAGGCACTTACTGTCTGTGTGAGCAGGCCTTGTAGGAGAGTCTGACTGGTTTGCAGTGAAAGACCCAGGAGGAAGCGGAGGAACAAATCCGAGTGTCCATTTGGATCCGTTAAAGCCTTGTTCACAGCATTCTCGTAGAAACGTGTTTCTTTTGTTGTTTCAGAAAACCTGGATGTTGCTTCTTGTACTTCCAGCAGATTGACTCCAGAGTGGAAGAACATCAGATGGACATGAAGAGCAGCCAGAAACTCCTGAACACTCAGATGAAGGAAACAAAAAACTTTTTTCTGGTACAGTCCTCTCTCCTCTCTAAAGATCTGTGTGAACACTCCTGAGTACACTGAGGCTGCTGTGATATCGATGCCACACTCTGTCAGGTCTGATTCATAGAGGATCAGGTTTCCTTTCTGCAGCTGATCAAAAGCCAGTTTTCCCAGAGACTCAATCATCTTCCTGCTCTCTGGACTCCAGTGTGGATCTGTCTCAAATCCTCCATCATACTTGACCTTCTTCACTTTGGCCTGGATCACCAAGAAGTGAATGTACATCTCAGTCAGGTTCTTGGGCAGCTCTCCTACCTCTCTGGTTTTCAACACATCCTCCAGAACTGTAGCAGTGATCCAGCAGAAGACTGGGATGTAGCACATGATGATTACACGGCGTGCTGCAGGGAAAAGCCTGTTCTAACATTTGAGTCTAAGGTTTATTTTTTAGCACCTGATGGCTCTTTTTTGCTTCTCACCTGTAAACACTCTGCATCTTTCACATGATTCAGTTTATTTTGAAAAGTCTCAACAGGATCTTGAGCTTTATTGTGAAAGGTTTATGTGGAACAAGCGGAAACACGGTGGTTTTACCGTCGTTGTTGCTAACGACAACGCATAAAAACAAATGCTTGTCCGTCTGTAGTGTGGCTATATTAAATGTAAGAGAAAGAGAGAACTTTAAGAAGTTAATTTAGCCACTACAGTGACCATCAAAATAATGAAAAAATATTGCCATAAACAGTTTAATTTGGGACACCACGAAACAAACGATAGCGTAAAATGAAACGATAAATGTTTTTATATCGTCATCATTATATTGAACAGCCCTGTCACACTTTTTCACTAGTGTTTCACTACAGCTTAGAGAGTAAATGGTGACTGTTTACAGACAAGTTAATGTCTTCGATACAAACTTCTCCTATCTGCTAGCAACAAAAAAAAAAATCACAAGGTGGTTTTTGATTGCAACACACTCTTTGTGATTGATTTGGGTCAAATTTATACATTTTGGTCACACTCTTTTTGAAAAAGGTAGAGCAAGCTGTCAAGCAGTAGCACATCCTAGATTGTATTAGAGAATGTGGTCCCGATATGCTGATTCTGAAGTAAATTACAAGTACTTTAAAACTACACTGAAGCACAGAATTGAAGTCAATGTGATCAGTTTTAGCATCATTCAGAGAGGTTTTTGGGAGTCACCCGAGGTCCACAAAAACTTGAAAACATAAGCTTGAACAGGTCCAACTTTTTTCAATAATCCTAAATAACACTGTATAATTGAACTCTCCACCAGCTATGTAGTTACAATAGATGCAACAAATCAATTCAGCAGTTTGTGAGTCATATTTCAGCTCAGGTCGATGGATTTGGTGGACACTGTAGATCATTTTACAGTCTTGTAGGTGTGGAGCAAAACCCGAAGGACAAGCGTTTTAGGAAGAAGTGAAACCTAAAGTGAGAACTATGAAATATTTCTCTCTCTTTCAAAGATACTTGAACTGGATTATCCAGCCTTCTTCAACAACAGAGTAGAGCATCTATCCAACACTGGTAAGTAGAGATGATGATTAAAAAAATGGTCCTCTCATTTTAAATAAGAGTAACTCTCAATCTTGAGCTGTGAAAAGTGACAAACATTTTTTGTTCTTTGGTCACTGAAGCATTCATCAACCAAAAGAGGAAAGGGTAAAAATGGGTTGAGGTTCTGATTTTCTTTTTGCTGATTTTTAACATTAAGTCCATAAAGTCCAGTCCTCCTGTGTTTGAGGAATCCTGGAATCCAGTCTGACGAGAATGAGATGGGACAAAAATCTGAATAGGTGACATTCCAACATTTACTGGATGAAAGTAAATGTTTGTGTCACAGCAGACTTTCAGTTAAATACTGATACAATCTGTTATACTATCTGTTTCCCTTTAAAGGAACATGAAACTGAGTTCATACAGCCATTCTCAACAGCACAGCAGAGATTTTGTCCAATACTGGTGAGTACAGATAATCGTGATCACACAATTTAAAAGTCCAAGCCAAATGTGGATCTTTCTTTCTTTGTCAGTATATGTAAATTTTATGCTGCTGAAGCTGGTGTGTTTGTTTGGTTTTACAAAAGGATGAAATAAGAGTTTATTTAACAGCAGGACTGATCAGACTACATTTGTTGGACAGAGAAAAAAAGTTTAGAGTTAAAACCTTTCATCCCTAACTCCCAAAAGGTGGATTCTGTTCATCTGGACGTAGGGTTTTCAGTGGGAGAAACGTTTCATGACTTGGATGAGTCATGAAACGTTTCTCCCACTGAAAACCCTACGTCCAGATGAACAGAATCCACCTTTTGGATTTACTTACCTGGATGACTGAGCATGCATCAAGACTTTCATCCCTAATCTCAAGGTCTGAAAAGCTTACTACAAGGGTGCCTGACACACCTGCAGAGAGAGGTGGGATTTAACGGAGTCCATTAGGTTGTCTTCAACAACACAGCACAGTCTCTACAAGCAGTGGTGAGTCTAGTTGATCACATTCATGTTTCAGTGCAAATCTTCGATTCACTTTATTCATTTCATGCTGACTTTCTTTGTCTCCAATCCTCTACCTTAAGTATGTTTTCACTACAGCCATTTCCATCCTCTTTACGATATCCTCAACTGTTATTCTGCATTTCTCTCCCTATATCCAACACAGAGGGAACAGAGGTAATTCTCATCACCTCTGTTCCCTGTTCCCTATATTCATGATCCAGCCTGACACGCATGGCTGGGATTGTCATCAAACAGAACTAAGAGAACAGAAAAAAAAAATCTTGAAACTGATTCTCCACAGGCAGCCTGGAACAGGACATATGTGGCAGGAAAGAAGGAAAAGCAGAATGGATCCACATTAAATAGAATGAAAACTGAATTTTAAATAAAATCAGTTTCTTTTCTCTTTCAGAGTGCAGACATGTCTGCTGCCAGCTGTCTTCTATCTCATGATCAGTTTCTGTGCTCCATCTGTCTGGATATCTTAACTGATCCAATCTCCACACCATGTGGACACAACTTCTGCAAAAACTGCATCAGTCAACACTGGGATATTAGTGAAACCTGTCAGTGCCCCACATGTAAAAAGGTGTTTGAGACCAGACCCGAGCTGTACATCAACACTTTCATCTCTGAGATGGTTTCTCAATTCAGACGTGAAACTCAGCAGAAAGTCAGCAGCAGCAGTTCAGAGCAACAAGCTGCCAAACCAGGAGAAGTTCCCTGTGACATCTGCACTGAAACCAAACTGAAGGCCCTGAAGTCCTGAAGTTCTTGTGTGAAATGGGAAAATGAAATTAGTTGAAGTGCCTCAATGGTTTGCTTTATATTATTAACAAATGTCATATAAACGTATAGTTCAGAACACTAAAGAAGACACGGCCCTGAACAATAAAGGCTCTTACAGCGTGTCATTGTCTTACAAGTAAGTTTGCAGGAGACTCTCATGCACGCTTGTATGCAGAAGTTAATAACAGGGAACCATCTGCCAGTGGAAATTTACTAGAAGGGAGTAGGGCAAGGTCGCAGCCTCCCTGGAGCTGAGTAAAGATGTTTTGCAGCTAATAGACAATAACCTATGAGTACGCTATGCAACGTGGCTACTGAATGCTTGTGTAGCACTGTTGTTTAGACTAGAGTGGGACACCCTGTAACAAAACTGTTAAGTGGATACCGCCAATTCGAGATTCGCTGCAGCGTGTCATACAGGACGCATCTCCCTTCCGGAAGTAATAAAAGTGTGAAATGGTCTACTGAGCAGTGTGTTGTCTTCCATCTGATGGCTATGAGGAATCAAAAGAACTCGGTGAAGTGTTAATATTTAACACTTGCCAGAGACTACAGAGACCCAAGTCAGAAATGGCAGTCTGGCATGATTCTGTCATGGACCAGACCGCTGACATACATCATATATGTTGGAGCCAACTCAGTCTGGCGTAGAAATGTTGATCAGATTCAGATAGATGCAGAAAGTCTCATGGTTCCAGAGCAACCGGAGAGCACAGCTACATCTCAAGATTCAGAGGAGTTTACCTTCGTGTGTGTGACTTAGAAACCGGCAGACAATGGTGGACAAAATGCTTGCTATGCATTCCAACAGACTAATGTTACATCTTCAACAGTCAAAATCCCTAAAAATATTTAGTTCATGATCCTGAGTACTGTCAGCACACCTGTTAATTGAATCGACCACAGCCCCAACTTTAACCTTTAATAAAATCCAAGCAGGTGAGTTGCAAAAAGATTCACCCACCTTACAGCTATTACGGAGGGAGAAGTTAGCGTTAAAGACCAAGACTGCTTTTGTATCAAGTTATAAACATGTTTTCTTCTGCTGTAATTCTGCACATTTTAGTGAAGTAATCCCAAAGGACTGACTCACTTATGGAGCCTGTCTCTAGTGGACAATAGAGCTGCAATTTCAGCACTGACACAAAACTGCCTTTTGACTGCCTTATTGTGTGCAGTCAGGGAAAGATTTCTGGAAATACATGTGATTCATATTTAATCCAGATCAAGCTCTCTGTAACTTAACTGCTACTGTAGCTGAAGTGGGTATTGCTGATTCTGAAGTAAAATACAAATACTTTAAAAGTGTTAAAATTTTATTAAAGCCAGAATTTAAGTAGCAGCTTTATTCAGTGAAGCTTTTGCTACTCAAACAGGTTCCATATTACTGAACTGTGAATATAGCAAATGTGGAAGCTCTAACAGGTGCTATGATATAATTTTCCGTGTTATTTGGAATTGTATTTAGTTGGATTGAAATAGTCCCTGAGCCATTTCTGGGCATCAGGCCATCTTTTGCCCATTTGGGCTTTAAAGGAGCTTTTGTTGCTCATCAAATTTTTTTATTGTACAGTCTGTGAACTCTAACCACGAGATGTCAATAGATTACAGATTGCTGTCAACTGAATTCTGGTTTTTGTAGGCCTCCTAATTCAAGTGCCTGTCCTTGCTACATCGCTAGTACATCTTTGCTATCGTGGCCCTTGTAGGCCACTTACATGGTTTAGTCAGCCAAGAGAGAGCAAAAATATCAAATTAAGACACCATAATGGCCAGTGAGCTAGTTTATTCTAATGTTTGAGTTTTGTTGGTAGGAGGTAGCAGGCAGATGTTTCTTCCCTGCATATTCAGCTTGTAGAATGAGTTCTGATTGTCATTGTGCTCAGGTAGGTTCCATCTGGTAACTACTGGGACATTTGATTCTATTACTGGACTTCTGTTCAAATCAAAATTTGTCCATAATGAACACTGTGTTCAAAATTAATGATGTCCATGAGCAGTGTTGGGGAGTAACGGAATACATGTACCGCCGTTACGTATTTAAAATACAAAATATGAGTAACTGTATTCCGTTACAGTTACCGTTTAAAAAGGTGGTATTCAGAATACAGTTACTTTGTTGAAATAAATGGATTACACGGCGGTACTTTCCTGTTTCATTTTGTGGCGGGTCAGGACTGTTTGGGTTTGGTTTGACAGCTACGATCTGTTGTTCCAGGCGGCAGCGTTACGGTTGCCATGGTTACAGGGCGACGCTCTCTCTCTCTCTGCGACTGTGTGTTTCCTGGGTGAGAGAGCGCCTTTTCGTTGTTGTTGTTGTTGTTGTTGTTGTTGTGCTAAGCTAACAGGCAGAATGCTACAAGCATAGCTCTAAAGCAGGGCTGCCCAATCCCAGTCCTCAAGAGCTACTATCCTGCAGCTTTTAGATGCATCCCTACTCCAACACAGCTGAATCAAATGGTTTGATTACCTCTTCAGCATGCCATCGTGTTTGGCAAAGGCCTGATAACAAGCCATTCATTTGATTCGGGTGTGTGGGAACAAGGATGCATCTAAAAGCTGCAGGACGGTAGCTCTCGAGGACCGGGATTGGGCACCCCTGAAGAATGTAGCATCATGGGCAGTGTAGTCCGTGTTGCAGGGAGAATGGACTGCCATACACGTTATGGGTCTTTGAGCGCGAGGAGGGAGAAAAAGGGGAGTGGAAAGGTACGAGTTGTCATCGAGGAAAAACGGCAGCTGGAAGCATGTAAATATAATAATAACCACTTCAGCCAAGAAGAGTGCCTGACGAGCCCAGTTGTAAGTAAGCTATTAAGACTCGACTGTACACCGTGTTCGTGTTTTTCTCCGAAAACAACAAGTTCCGTTGGAGCAGCCTTTCAACGCCTGCCTCTGTCTCTCGCAAGAAAAGTTGACCCACACAACAAAGTAGAGCTATTTTTCAGCTACGAGTCGACATGTATTAGTCAGAGGTCCCTTTACTACAGTTCGGAGTCACGGACCTTCAGTAATAGTAATAAATCACACAGCAATAGTACATTCACGTTGTTGTAAAAAGCACGATAATATATTAAGTAATCCAAAGTATTCAGAATACGTTACTGTCATTGAGTAACGTAACGGAATACGTTACAGAATACATTTTGGGGCATGTATTCTGTATTCTGTAATGGAATACATTTTAAAAGTAACCTTCCCAACACTGTCCATGAGTGCACATTGCAACAGGACATCCTAGGTCACAAGTCAATTATTTTGTGATCTCTCCCCTCTTAGACTGCTCCTCTCCTTTTTCTGTGTAATTACTGAAGCCCCCTGCATTTCCCTGCTTCAACATAAATCCTCTAAGTGTGAAAATAAATATTTCCATTCTCTGTGGTTCGTGTTTGGATTCTGCAATTAATTTCACTTGTCACTGGTTTTGGTTGTTCATGATAAGTGTACTACTAACATTTAATTAATTAATAAGTGTGTATTTTGTCGAGAACGCCAAGAATGCAATTAAACTATAGGTGTGTTTCCACTCAACACAACCTGACTAGCAGTGAGAGAGAGAGGAAGAGAGAGGAAGAGGGAGAAAGAGAGCGAGAGAGAGAGTGAGTGAGCCAGGGATGGAGAGTAGCCCATCTGGCTACACTGACATCATGTAGTTTATCTTATGAACACAAGTAATGCTTTGAAATGAGATGGGAACAGAAGAGTATAGCTTCTTTAACAATGGCAGAAATGAAAAGCAAAGATTTAAAACATGAATATCATTCAGACTTTTATTTACTGTTTCCACAGTTTTCAGTGGCTTGAACTAAATAAAGACCAAATGTTACATAAACACAAGGAGTTCATTACAGGTATGTGATATTTTCCCAACATAACTCCAAAGTTAACCGTATCTAAATATTTAACATCACAATTACCCATCAAATCAATTATATATCACAGAAAATAAAGAAGTATATTTAATGAAGCCATCGGTGGAGCGGGAGGGTGGCTTGCTGGGCTTAAGCCCGGGTCATTTTTTCAGAAGCCTTTTGGAGTGTAATTTGTTACATAGTTAGATGCCTAACTGACAACTGTATAAAACAAAACCTATACACACAATATTCGAAGCACATAGCGCACAGTTGTAAATTCCCCCTAATTTTGGTATGATCCGAGCTCAGGCACTAGGTGACTGAGCACAGCACTTACGCATGTGAGGGACGGGGGAGAAGCTGCTGCCTGCAAGTTTGCTGTAGGAGAAGTGCAGCCAGGCAGACAGAGGAGAGCTTAAGTTTGACCAAGTACCAAAGCAAATCATTTGTACTTTTACAATGTAAATATGATGGTGTATCACAAAAGATTGATATCAAACTGGTTACTTGACCCATATTAACACTTAGACCCCCGCTACTTCCTCTTCGAGTGAACCAACAAATGGCGAAATGAAAAGCCGAACAACAATGCTGTTTTTTTAGAGAGTCTTAGCCAGTGTTGGGTAAGTTACTTTAAAAAAGTAATTAATTACTAATTACTAATTACTAATTACTTAGTCAATATTGTATTTAAAATACTTATCTAATTACTGTGTCAGAAAAGTAACTTAATTACTAAATAAGTAATTTAACTAAATACTTCTTAAAATAGCTATATACAATGAGTGGGCAAACAATAGACATTAAACTCTTTAAATAATAAATAACTTTTTATAAAGACAGAGACTCTACAGTACGCAGCGGTAGCATCTCTTCCACAATTTAGCCTGCAATCATTTTTTTAAGCTCACCTTCAGATGCTTTTTGTGCTGCTTAAGTAAAATCAACCGCATTGTTATCCATGGATGATGAACAAGGATCACTCAGAAGTGTTCGTCTATGCTCTCGTGTCAGGCGCTTCAGTAGATTACTCGTGCTATTAACAGCAGCCGATAGTTTTTTCTCCCCAGGACATAGCTTACATATTACTGTAATATTCTTGTCTGCTTGTTTCAGAAAAGTGAAGAGACGGAAATATGTCCATTTCATAAAACAGCCACTTGCTTCAGCCAAGTCCGACATCTTCCGCTTTAGAATATGACTATAAAGCAAACTGGTGCAAAATGACGTGCAGCTGCACTACAGCGATGTTAAAGCGGCAGAGTTTACTTCTACGTTTAGAAGACAAATTATTGAAATTAAATAATGATATTCAGCGAGTTTAATTATTTTACAATGTAACGCAAGTACATTGTAAGTAACTGTAATTAAAATACCTAAAAATGAACAGTAATTAGTTACTCTGCTTTTTCAGTGGAAAAGTAATTTAATTACAGTAACGCGTTATATAGTAACACATTACACCCAACACTGGTCTTAGCTTACATGTGTGTTTATTTCATATTTTCAGTTGTTACCCTCTATGGCTAAATAAAGCCCTCTAAATCGGTTTCAGTTATGTACTGATGAACACAACAATGGCCATAAGGAGCTCCTTTCAAAGAAAAAACTCAGGTAGATGTTATTTTATATATTATGCTTTGTATGTTTTTCAATATTTCTATATTTCTATGCAAAACAAGAGGAATTTCAATACACAGCAGTATGTTCATAGTTGAAACCAGATATTTACATACACTTTAGGGAAAAACAAGAACTTTTTATTTACTGTTAAACATCAATTTAGAGTTAACTTGTTTTGTTTTAGATAAATAAATATTGAAGCATCTTTTGAATTAGTTAAATGTCAGAATAAAAAGAGAGAGCTGTCTATTTTTTATCACTTTCATCAACTTTAGGAGTACATATACACTAAGTTTATTGTTAATTAATAAGAGTTAATAAGAGTTTAAGAAGCTTCTGATAGGTTAGTAGAGGCCATGTGATTAAATTGGTGGCACACCTGTGGATCCATATAAGGCACCCCCAAAACACAGAGCCACATGAACCAAAACACCAGGAAAAGAATTGTGGACCTCCGTGAGTGTGGCTCAATTTTGAATACAATTTGGTGCCATTTGCAATTACGAAATACATACAATTTCTCTCTTTATTCTTAAATTTAACAAATATGTTTTTTTATATTTTTCAATCAAAAAAATAAACATTTAGTCTGATTTGATGTTTTACAATTTGAAAAAAAAAAGATTCTGGTTCTGAGTAAATTGGTGGGAAATGGTGGCCTAAAGTAGTCCTGAATTTACTGTGAATTAACCATTGTGAATTAACTATTGTAGTCCTGTTTTAATTCCAGATCTTTTTTGAACATAACTCAAAACACATTTCCTGAGGTCAGATGGCCCAGGATTTGAGTGGGCTCAAAACTGGATTATAGATGGCAGACAGTTGGTGTCGTAAACCTACCAATAACAATATACCAATATTCAATGTGAAGCTTTGAGTGTAAAAAAACAGAAAGAAAAACATGTGGATCCTGAAATAATTGTAGCTTCCACCTTTAAAGGGCTGAAGAGGAAGATGTTTACAAGGAATCATTTAGAATATTTATAACTGACTGATTATCTGAAACTGTGTTTCTGATTGAAAGAGACAGACATGTACAGACTGAACTATCTGTTTAACAGTCAAAGTGTTTCTCTAACAGGAGAACACTCTGTACACTCAACTCGGCACAGACACACTGAGGAACCAGGAAACCAGACTGTAAATCCAGGATAAAGAGGTTCAGTGAATGTGGTGTTGAAGGTGTGGAGGTGAATCAGAGTGTCAGAGGAAACTCGGTAGAAGGACAGAGTGCCAGCAGGATGATCCACATGCACTGCTACTCTGTTAGAGACAGAGGAGGAGGATTGCAGATATATTTCTGTGTTACTGTGTAAGACAGAGTAACCCTTAACATCAGAGCAGAACAGAGACCAGGACTGATCATTCCTTCCAAAGACAAAGGCATTGCTGTCTCCGTTTTTTGAAATTCTTCTGTAACTCACCGATATATAAACCTCTCCTTTCCACTCAACCTCCCAATAACAGCAACTGATGAGACCATCTTTACATAGAAGCTGACAATCACCATCAAATCTGTCTGGATGATCAGGATATGACTGATCCTCCTCCACACGTGTCACCCTCCTGTTGTTATCAGACAGTATGAGTTTTCTGTTCACTGTGTTTGTGTCGATTGTGAGTTGACAGGAATCTGATGGAGAGAACAAACAAAGTCCAGCTGGAATTATTGATCCATCATCTGTTCATTGATTGACAATTTGATGGTGAAAGATGTGAATGAGTGATGTGACAGTTTGAAGATGGTTGAATGTGTGCTGCTTTGCTTTCATGAATCACATTAAAAACACACTTACACTTCCTCAGACCTGGTCTCAGCCATTGTTCTCCAGCAGGCTCCAGAATGACCCTGAAAGGAGGAGGGGGGTCAGACCAGCACAGTCTCTTTCAGCATGCACACATGGACATTACATCGCTCTCACACTGTTAGACACTGATAAAGGAAGAGCCAAGATTTTCAGATATACACTTTAATCCATTTGTGTATTGAAGAGCATTTCATGTAAAGATAAATTTGTATGACCCTTTAGTTCCCCGACTCATTACTTTTAGGGAGGTGCTTCAGTCAGTAGAAATAATCCACATGTCCCATTTATTAGTATCACATGTTAGAAGAAAACTCCCGCCTATAATATTTTCCACATTTACTTTTTTCTCACTGCGTGTAATGAACTTTTGCTTTCTGATATCTGCCAAAATAAAGTTAATGTTCAATAGTGCTCTTTTTCTGAGTTTAGGAGATAAAATCAAAAGAGGGAAACAAGAAGGACATGGAAATACAGAGCAATGGGGCCAACGTGACACCAAGCAGAGGAAGACAGAGGACATAAGTACACAGAGGATAGCGGATGGAAAACAGGGGAGAACACAGCTGGAACAACAGAACAGGTGAAACAAAAATAAACAGTCAAAATAAAACAGGAAGTATGATAACTATGAACACAAACACTAAGACTCAAAGGTATGGCACTGGGAGAAGCAGACATAGGAACAAGACTGACTGTGGAGAAAGAAAGGAAACACCAATCAGAGAAACAGGAGTTAAGCAAAACAAAGGAAAGAGAGCAATACGGATTGTGAAGAACAATACAGACTAACCAATTACTTAAACACTTAAAGTATAATTAAAGGATGTATATATATATATATATATATA